ACCTCCGCCTCCCGGGTTCAGGCAATTCTCCTGCCCCAGCCTCCTGAGTCGCTGGGATTACAGGCACACGTCACCATGCCCAGCTAATTTTTTGTATTTTTAGTAGAGACGGGGTTTCACCATGTTGACCAGGATGGTCTCGATCTCTTGACCTCGTGATCCACCCGCCTCGGCCTCCCACAATGCTGGGATTACAGGCTTGAGCCACCGCGCCTGGCCTACCAGTTGACCCTTTGATGAGACACACCACAGCCCCATCTGACACCTAGCTATGTGTGACCCTAAGAAAAGGACCCAACTAAACTGTGCCCGGCTGTGAGATATGTGTTTTAAGCCATTATGCTTGTGATATTTTGTTATACAACAACAAAAAAACTAACATAAATACCTATGATAAAGCTTTTTTATTTTTTAATCAGTATCACTCAAAATGTTATCAATAAAGATTGTAGGCCAGGCATTGCGGCTCAAGTCTGTAATCCCAGCACTCTGGGAGGCCAAAGCAGGGGGATTACTTGAAGCCAGGAATTCAAGATCAGCGTGGGCAACATGGCAAGACCCCTATCTCTATAAAAATAGGCCAGGCGCAGTGGCTCACACCTTTAATCCCAACACTTTGGGAGGCTGAGGTGGGCAGATGGCTTTAGCACGGGAGTTTGACGAGACCAGCATAAGCAACATGGCGAAACCCCGTCTCTACAAAATATACAAAAATTAGCTGGGTGTGGTGGCGCATGCCTGTAGTTCCAGCTACTGAGGAGGCTGAGGTGGGAGGATCACCTGAGCCCAAGAGGCAGAGGTTGCGGTGAGCCATGATTGCACCACTGCACTTCATCCAGGGGACAGAAGAAGACCTTGTCTCTTTAAATTAAAAAAAAAAAAAAAAAAAAAGTCTGGGCGCAGTGGCTTACACCTGTAATCCCAGCACTTTGGGAGGCTGAGGCGGGCAGATCACTTGAGCTCAGGAGTTCGAGACAAGCCTGACCAACATAGAGAAACCCTGTGTCTACTAAAAATACAAAATTAGCCAGGCATGGTGGTACATGCCTGTAATCCTAGCTGTTCGGGAGGCTGAGGTAGGAGAATCACTTGAACCTGGGAGGCAGAGGTTGCAGTGGGCTGAGATCACGCCATTGCACTCCATCCTGAGCAACAACAGCAAAACTCCATCTCAAAAAAAATAGAAAAAGAAAATTTAAAAAATGTTCCAGCCTGGGCAGAAAACGCCATCTCCACTAAAATATGCCAAAAAAATTAGCCAGGCATGGTGGCACATGTCTGTAGTCCCAGCTACTCAGGAGGCTGAAGTGGGAGGATCACTTAAGCCTGGGAGGCAGAGGCTGCAGTGAGATCAGGTCACTGCACTCCTGCTGGGGCAGAGAGAGACCGTGTCACAAGATACATAGATAGATAATTTTTTTTAAACTTTAAGCTTTATTTTTTTCTTTTTAAAAATTTTTGTGGGTGTACAGTAGGTATATATGTTTATGGAATACATGAGATGTTTTGATACAGGTATGCAAAGTAAAATAAGCAAATCACAGAGAATGGGGTATCTACCCCCTCAAGTATTTACCCTTTGACTTATGGGGTATCCACCCCCTCAGGCATTTATCCTCGGACTTACAAATAATCCAATTAAATTCTCAGTTATTTTAAAATGTACAATTAAGTTATTATTAAACACAGTCACCCTGCTGTGCTATCAAATAGTAAATCTTATTCATTCTATTTTTTTTGTACCCATTAGCCAACCCTACCTCCCCCCTTTTTCTTAATACTTACAAAAGGTACAATACACTTTTTTATATGGCCAAACTGTGCAAAGTGTTCTCTCAGCTGACCTGCGTGGCAGAAGAAAACATATTGATAGTTACTATCTTTTGGATTCTCTATCTTAGATTGTAGATAGAAACTAAAAGTGGTCCCAGGGTCACCAGACTTCTTGTGGACAGGAACTACTTTGCATTTCCTTAAAGGTTTGAGATTTAGGAAGCTGCTATGGTACTGGCTATAAAGCCATAATGTACTAGGTTTGGTAGGAGGTGAGGAGGGGAGATGGACTGACAAGTTGTTGAGCTGGCTGCAGTCTCCATCCTCAGCAAATATTGAGTGTTTTCATCATATTAGTTACTGTGCTATGTGGACTATGATCCCTGTGAGCAGATCACAAAGAAGAAAAAGACAAATTACAGTCCAGTGTGTTTCCAGCTATACTGAAGATTTCCAAATAAAATCCCAACTTACTGTTCTTTCATTCTTTCACAATTTAGTAAAATTTGTTAAGTTGACCTCACCTACCCTTCCTGCCTTATTTCCCCCTGCTGGCCCCTAGTTACTCTCTAGCACAACAAATTGAATCATCTCTATCTGTCCCGTGAATTCCCATCTTTGCATATGTTGTTCTCTCCCCTCAATATGTTGGTAATCCTATCTCCCCCTGCCTAACTTGTAATTATAACTATCCTTCAAGACCCAAACCAAATACATCCACTGAGTATTATTTTATTGGGCTCCTGCTGTAACACAAGACAATGTACTAGCCCTGTGAGACTTCAAAGATTAGAGTATATGATCTTAAAGACTAAAAACTACATGATCTGTTTCTCTTCTGAACTACAGTGCTTGTACTTCACTGATTTACTTTTTATAATATTTAGTTCTCCTAGTTCACCAAAACCTCACTGATTCAACAACTGCCTAAATTTGTTGTAAGTCTCTTCATCCCCACTACTACACTGTAAGCTCCCTCAGCATACAAACCACTAAGTTTACAGTGACCAATAAACAGTAGGGCCTCAATATTGGCTAATGAAATAGTAAATGTCCACTAATCCTTCAACAATCAACAGAGACTAAGTTTTGAAGGGCTCTAATGGTAAGTCAAACCAACTGGCAAGATCAAGATCTCACAGAATATGATACTGGAGAACAAAATAATGTTAAACATATGTTTTATACCAGATAATTAAAGTCCTAGAAGACACTGATTTCAAAACCATCTCTGGAAGGTAACCGACTTTCTAACCTGCTTAAAACTGTGAGGGAGAAACAGCTGCAAGCACCAAGAACAATGTCTACCACATAATAGATACTCAAATAAATATTTGCTGAATCACTGGAACAACAGAGAGAAACTGTTTCGAAGTTGTACATAATGCTGACTCTTTTTGAGGGTTTTAAACTAGCCCTTTATTGCCTGGAAACTTGCATGTGCAAGACGCTAATGAAACTCCTCAGCCTTTCCATAAAGTTTCACAGGGCCTATGGAAGACTACTGGGCTTGGTCTTCACCAACCACATGTTTAAAAGATGGGGCACAAACCAACCTATTTCCCATTCTACTATTCACATCTGAGCCACAAAAACTAAGAAACTAAATCTTGTTCCATTTTGTTTAAAGGGGCTGACCTGATACATGAATATCTACAAAAAAGCGACCACGACTGTTTACATGTTGGTAAGCAAACATAAAAACCTTCTCTCAAAACTGCAGCTGACAAAAATCGAAGGTGATGAGAGATTTCAGGATTATTGCAATCTTTATCTCCAGATTAGGCCTCTCCCATAAGCTGCAACTTTGGTTATCGTGAAAATAACTATCATTTTTTGAATACTTAAACTATATCTAACACAAATCTGGGAAGTTTGCATATAAACTCAATCCTCTCAACAATCCTCTGAGTTGGGTATTGACTCCATTTTATCGATGAATAAACTGTGGCCCAGTGTGGGCCCTTTTCCCATATTAATTTCAGTTATTCAGGTAATACAGCGATTAAATGTCCGAGTTGGAATTCTAACCCAACAGTTTGTCTTCGGAGTCCACTTCTCAGCGACAATGATACACAACCTCTGTCCAATTGCCTGATGGAAACCTCACGAGTTTCTCAAACTCAACACATTCAAACTACTTATCTTCCCGTGGCCTGCTTGCTCCTCTTAACTTCTAAACAAGCCATTCACCAATGCTAAAAACCCGGTTATAATTCCTTCCTTTCCCTTATTCCGTACACTTCCCCCTACTTAAGCCATCACGAAACGACATCTAGTTTGCTTTTGAAAGATCTGACCACCCTCCTTCTACCATAGCCCAAAGTCAGGTCTTCACCTTTTAAGTACATTAATGAAATTCCCGTTGAGCTCTACCCCACGCCTACAATCTTGCCACCTTGACTCCATCCTTCACACTACAGTGAAAATTATCCCTTCTAAATTGTAAATCTGGGTTTCCAAGTAAAAAGCCTTCACACCAAATCACTCCTAAAGGCAAAAAGCCACGCCGGGCGTGGTGGCTCAAGCCTGTAATCCCAGCACTGTGGGAGGCTGAGGCGGGTGGATCACGAGGTCAAGAGATCGAGACCATCCTGATCAACATGGTGAAACCCCGTCTCTACTAAAACTACAAAAAATTAGCTGGGCATGGTGGAGCGTGCCTGTAATCCCAGCGACTCAGGAGGCCGAGGCAGGAGAATTGCCTGAACCCGAAGGCGGAGGTTGCGGTGAGCCGAGATCGCGCCATTGCACTCCAGCCTGGGTAACAAGAGCGAAACTCCGTCTCAAAAAAAAAAAAAAAAAAAAAGCCGGTACATTCACGCCCCGAAAAGCTCAAGGGACATCCCTAAAGGGTTAATTGCAAACAAAATTTCTTTCTGCTCACTTGCATACTCAGGAGCAGTATCCTAATTCAGCCACCACGCTGACAAGTACCCTGTAAAAAGCATAAACTTTGAGGATCACTTGGATCTAAAAATTCCGTATCTCCCACATCTCCATCACTCACTCGACGCCGCGGTCCAAGGAATTTTTCTCACAAAAGCAATCGGCCGGCTGACATTTCTACGCAGCGCCACAGCACCACTGGCCGTTAAAGCCGCCATCTTTAGACTAAAGGGCCTTCTCTAGCTGGGGTCGCGGGCCCAGAAAAAGTTTCCGGATCCGGAATATGGGAGAATCTGCTTCCGGATCAGAACAGGCCGCGAGATGGGGAAGATGGCGGCGGTCGTGGGCTCCGTGGCGACTCTGGCGACTGAGCCTGGGGAGGACGCCTTTCGGAAACTTTTCCGCTTCTACCGTCAGAGCCGGCCCGGGACCGCAGACCTGGGAGGGGTCATCGACTTCTCGGCGGACCATGCAGCTCATGACACGGGTCCTGGTGCCCACAAGGTACATAGAGAGGAGGGGCGCGCACCTATCCATCGCTTCGCCTCGCTTCTTGGAGGGGCTTCGTGTCATCCTTGCCTCTTTTCGCCTCCAGACCGATTGTTACTGAACGATTCCTACCCTCCTTTGGCTGCGGAGTTGAACGTCCCACTAACCATCACACTAGCAATAAAGTGTTGAGATCCCCGTTTCTTCAGGCTGCCATTTCCGGCAGGAGCCTCTGTCAAAAGAGCCTGGGAATCGGTGTTTATTTCTTCCTATAACTGTCTACTCACATTTCTGTTTGAGTTTTTGTAAAACCCCGTAGAAAGTCTTCGTAGATGGTAAGGAAGCGTTCTGCCGCTTGAAAAAACCACTCCCGAGGAATCCCTGAACTGGCAGGGATCCAGCGCTCTTTGTTAAGCCGCTGTGTAAAACTAGTTCCTGTCTTCTCCTTTGGGCCTTTTAGAAGGAGGTCATTGAAGGATTCTGAGAGAATCCCTCCGTGTTGAAAATAAATGGCAGACAAGTATATATGGAGTACAGGCACCGTTCGTTCTTTTTACTTTCCCCCATGGTGATTAAGAAAGGTAATACAGGCCGGGAGTGGCGGCTCACGCCTGCAATCCTAGCACTTTGGGAGGCCGAGGCATGTGGATCGCTTGAACCAGAGGTTCGAGACCAGCCTGGGCAACAAGGCAAGACAACCCCCCACCCCCATCTCCACCAAAAATAGAAAAAATTAGCTAGTCTCATAACCCGATCTCAATTATATAGATTTTTAAAATTTTTTTAAAGGAACGTAATAGGTAAGAGGGAAAACAGGGGGAACCAAAATCGTAGTCCAATTTACATTTCCTTTCTTTACAATCCACTTTAACGTTGAGGATATGCAGTGCTTTAATTTTCTCTTGCTGTTGTCCACAGATGTCTAGATGAGGCATTCTTTCCAAGCTTCCTAACAGCTCTGATAAAATTGGGATGCTATAGTATTAAGTGTTAATGATTGCATACTTGAGGTCAGCTTTTCAGCACCTTCGTTTGTTAGCAAAAAAAAAAATGGTCATAGAGTTGTCAAAATACAGAAAGTCCACACCCCAAGAATAATACACTTTTCTCTGGAGAGCCCTTCAGACCCTCATTCAGCTCCTTTTACCTATATTTTACCATAATATGTACACACTTGGAATGTTAGCCACCAGAGAATGAGCCATTGTGTGTCTAGTACAGGTCTTGAAACAATACTAAATAAATACAGTTTGTGTTGAGTACATGAAAGCTTCAGTGTTTAGTTCCCTAGCTCAAAGCAGGTTAAAGTAGTAATTAAGAGAAGTTACTTTACAAGCCAGCTGATGGGACTAGTGGGGAAAGTGGTGGTTAACAGTCTGGCAAGGGAGAAAGCAGAAAACCTTTTATAAAAGCTCATGGTGTGGTTCAGTTTAGCATATAGTAGAATAGGTCCACTAACATCACCTCTAAGAGTGTGTTGAGTTATAGTGCAGTATTAAGTACAGCCTATTTAAGAAATCATGACAAAATGCTTAAAAGTGTTTTATTGGCCAGGCACAGTGGCTCACACCTGTAATCCCAGCACTTTGGAAGGCTGAAGCGGGCAGGAGAAACCCCATCTCTACTAAAAATGCAAAATTAGCCAGGCGTGGTAGCAGGCGCCTGTAATCCCACCTACCAGGGAGGCTAAGACAGGAGAACCACTTGAACCCAGGAGGCAGAGGTTGCGGTGAGCCAAGATCACGCCATTGCACTGGAGCCTGGGCAACAAGAGCAAGAATCTGTCTTATTGGGCCGGCCGTGGTGGCTCACACCTGTTATCTCAGCACTTTGGGAGGCCAAGGCGGGAGAATCATCTGAGATTGGGAGTTCAAGACCAGCCTGACCAACGTGGAGAAACTCCATCTCTACTCAAAATATTAGCCAGGTGTAGTGGCGCATGCCTATAATCCCAGCTACTTGGGAGGCTGAGGCAGGAGAATCGCTTGAACCTGGGAGGCAGAGGTTGCGGTGAGCCAAGTCAGCCATTGCACTCCAGCATGTGCAACAAGCGAGATTCTCCCTCTCAAAACAAACAAACAAAAAAGGTGTTTTATCAGCCCATAGGTACCTGGAAAACTCAGCTGATCAGTACTTTCAGAGGGTTTCAGATAGCCATTTTATTATTTTATTATTTATTATATATACATCAGCGAACTATTGATATTTTGTTTGCAAATCTCCAGACTTGGAGAAGTTGATAGGATGAAAGATCATTCTCTTTCGAAGAGAATGTTTCATATATATGTATATAATATATATACACTCTTTTTTTCTGAGACAGCATCTCACTGTGTTGCCCAGGCTGAAATGCTGTGGCATGAGCTCGGCTCACTGCAACATCCACCTTCTAGGTTCAAGCAATTCTTCTGCCTCAGCCTCCCAAGTAGCTGGGACTATAGGTGCACGCCACCACACTTGGCTGTCTAAGTTTTTATTTCAGTGACTGTGTAGTGGGTCTGGTAACCAATGTAATGAGCCATCCGTTAGATACTAATGTAAAAAAAAACATCACCCCCTGAAACACTAAATTCTTTTTTTTTTTTTTTTTTCTCTCTTTTTTTTTTTTTTTTTTTCGAGATGGAATCTTGCTCTATCCCCAAGCTGGAGTACAGTGGTGCTATCTTGGCTTACTGCAGCCTCCACCTCCTGGGTTCAAGCAATTCTGGTACCTCAGCCTCCCGAGTAGCTGGGATTTCCCAGCTAATTTTTGTATTTTTAGTAGAGACACGGTTTCACCATGCTGGCCAGTCTGGTCTCAAACTCCTGACCTCATGATCTGCCCCCCTCGGCCTCCCAAACTGCTGGGTTTACAGGTGTGAGCCACTGTGACCCCAGCCTTCTCTTTTCATTCTCTCACTGTCTTCAGCTTGGTGTTCCTTATAGCTCTGTTTAAATACCAACTCTACACAAGTGTCTCAAAAGCATTACTGTTACCCCTATCTGAAGTAAATAGCTTTGTGACTCAGGATATTTCAGTACACCAAACACCTTTCATGATTCAGTTCCATAAGAAGTTGCAAAGGTATGATGTCATAGGAAGAAGTAGTTTTGAAAGCCCAAATTAGCCTGCTTAAATTTTCTTATTTTCTTAACTTTGGGTGATTCTACTGTTAGTACATAGATGAGAAACTGCGATTCTAAGACATTAAGTGACTCATGTAAAATGTCTAGATCAAGTAAGCAGTAGAGCTAAGATTAACCCCAGACTTACTACTCCTAGCTTTGGCCTGGCACAGTGGCTCATACCTCTAATCCCAGTGCTTTGGGAGGCTAACACAGGAGGATCACTTGAGCCCAGGCATTTGAGGCTGCAGTGAACTATGATGAATACCAGTGCACTCTAGCCTGGGCAACAGAGCAAGGTCCTGTATCTTAAAAAAACAAGAATACTAGCTTTGCCTCATACAAGAAATATCTTTGGAGTTTTGAGGTTCCCAGGGTTGACCTGCAAAATAGATTTAGCCCTTTAAGTTCTGTTTCTTTCCTGCCAGGTGGTCACATCTCAGCTAAATGTGTCTTCTGTTAGTGAACACGATGCACGTAGAGCAGGTCTTCAGCCCATCAGCAAGTGGCAAGCCTATGGACTCAAAGGCTATCCTGGTGAGTGTAACTGACCTCAGAGAAGGCAAAATCACTCAGTCATTGTGTCTTTGTGTTTTCAAAGAAGGAACTGTGAGCAAGTGAATAGACAAAGGATACACATAATAAAAAGATAAATGTTTCATTTCCAAACTCATTCTAGACTGTACGTTGTCTAAGATGTCCATTTTGAAAGGATAGAACAGGAGTCAGCAGTGCCTACAAATGTGGCTGAAAGTGGCATGAAAAATAAAAAAATAAGAACATTGACTCTGGACTCCCTGCCACAACTCTGAACATCTGATTTGATGGAAATGTTGTGAAGAATAATTTATCATTATTGTAATAAGTGTCAAATAATAGTTATGAATAATTCATAATTGCCCCTGTAGCCACATTCTCAAATGGCATAAAAACTTAAAACTTGTTGCTGGCTGGGTGCAGTGGCTCATGCCTATAATCCCAGCACTTTGGGAGGCCGAGGCGAGTGGATCACAAGGTCAAGAGATCGAGACCATCCTGGTCTACATGGTGAAACCCCGTCTCTACTGAAAATACAAAAAAATTAGCTGGGCATGGTGGTGCACGCCTGTAGTCCCAGCTACTTGGGAGGCTGAGGCAGGAGAATTGCTTGAACCCAGGAGGCAGAGGTTGCGGTGAGCTGAGATTGCACCATTGCACTCCAGCCTGGGTGACAAGAGCAAAACTCTGTCTCAAAAAAAAAAAAAAAAAAGAAAAGAAAACTTGTTGCTATCAAGGCTGAACATCGCTCACACCACCTTGCCAACACTTTAGAAGGCCAAGTTGGGAGGATCACTTGAGCCCAGGAATTTGTGAGCAGCCTGGGCAGCATAGTAAGACCCTGTCTCTACAAAAAAAAAAAAAAAAAAATTTTTTTTTTTTTTTCCCAGACAGAGCCTCAATCTGTCACCCAGACTGGAATATAGTGGCACAATCTCAGCTCACTACAACCTCCGCCTCTCAGGCTCCAGAGATTTTTCTGCCTTGGCCTCCCAAGTAGCTGAGATTAGAGGTTTATGCCACCACACCCAGCTAATTTTTGTATTTTAGTAGAGAAAGGGTTTCGCCATGTTGGCCAGGCTGGTCTCGAACTCCTGACCTCAGGTGATCCACTCACCTTGGCCTCCCAAAGTGCTGATATTAC